TATTTATAATATAAATTATAAAATAAAGTAATAAAATTATAATAAAATATATAATTGAAATTCATGGTATTAGGCAGCACATAGTGGATATGCACCTGGGCTTAGTCTACTTCTTTTGTCTTCTGTCCTTTTTCAAAAAACACTGATTACTCACTAGACTGTACGACCCATCACAACCCCAAGAACTAAATGTGTAGATGGTGGTTTCTCAAAGGAAAACTGTATCGAAGAGGTGAATTTTAGTATGGTGAAGACATAGAATACTCAGAGAGCGATAAAAACAAAATATAATCATGAAAAAGAACCACTTTAGTAACCCTAGATACTACATGGCAGAGTGCCATAGATCCTGGTTAATGAAATTTTTGACCTATTAAATTATTTGAGACTATATAGGTAGAACAAAATAAACTATTAATAGCAATTTCATCTTGCAAATATAGCAAGTCTTTTAAAACCTAATTAAGTACATTTTCCATTCAAATCTAATAAAATTTCATCTACTTTTGAATATAAGTATGATATAGGTAGTCAAGAAGAGTCTTAATGTTAGTTTGAAAAATCTACTTGTACAAGTCCATATTCAAGAATGCTATAGAATGGATTCCTGTGTCAGGAGGGTAGCTGAGTGACCTCCAAGAAATTACCAGTCCTAAGATTCTAAGATCTTATGATGAATTAAAAATGGGTATACTTTCATATACTGGATATTAGAATCAAAGATCAATACAATTTGGGGGAGAATCTTAACTTTGTATAATCTGGTTATCTTTAAGCCTACTCTGATGTGCAAGGTTAACTAACATCTATCAATTTAGAAAAAGAGAAGTTATTGGTGGGGGATTAGGATGTTGAAAAGAAAGGGAAGAACAGGAAGTTGGTTTGGGAAGGAACAAAAGGAGTTTTCTTTCCATAAATCAGAAGAAACAGTTGGGAAGCAGCTCTTCAGTGGTGGCTTCTGAAAGTCAACACAATAAAGTTAATACGTGAATATACTAACAACATGGCCAGTTGGGAAAATTCATCTTTTTCTTTGTTTGTTGAAACCCAATGAAAAAAAAATCTTTCATTGTTTTGGTAATGGTTTAAAATGAAGAAAAGAAAAAAGAAAGAAAAAAACCTAAACAACCTAAGAAAAACCCCTCTAACCTCCAGATGTAGTTATTTAATCTTACAATAAGCTAATAAAAATCTGAGATGGTTATAGCAGCAAGAAAAGAAATTTAGTGTTAAGAAATTCAGAAATTCTCTTCCCTATACTCTCAAAGTCTGGCTTCTCACAATATCTCTAGAACTTTTATTGAGAGATTAGTGTGATTTTAGAGGAATCGTTAACATTCTTTTGAAGGAAAAAAATTTGTAATTATTATAGATCCATTAAAATTTTTCTTAGTATAATACATCATTCAACAAAACTTTTATCATTTACACAGCAAATCAGTGTGATAAATAATTTTGTAACAAAGCAAATTATTCTGAACAACACAATTAAAAATAAACCATTGAAATATAAAATAGATTTATTATTAATGATTTGGTCAAAATAATTTACTTTTCAAGAAATTTGGTATCTTAATAAAATGTATAATTTCTTCCTTGGAAGAGAATATAGAAAAGTGGGAAGATGAGAGAACAGAGACTTAGCCAGCCCAGTTCACAGTATGAACCAAGGTACAGCAGAACTCCCTTAAGACTACGTGAGGAGCAAACTGCTTTCAGGCTATTACATTGGTTGTTAAACAGTAGTACAATAAACAATCTGAATTTTTACTTTCTAACTTTTCCCATTTTCCCATTGTTTATGTTTTCTTTTCCTGTGATCTCAAACATTGCATTATTTAACTCACCTATCTTCTTTTATGTACATTGGCCTGCCCCTTAAGCTAACATAATGATGTTTCTTATGAGTAATGGCCAAATTGAGCTTCCTCCTTTTGAATGAGAACCTTTCCTACTTAGCACTCATCAAAATATAAACAGTTATGACTTCTAGAATTGTTTTCCCCTACTAAACTAGTCTTGTGAAAGCCTACATCTTTCACTGCATTTTATTATTGTGTCAGCTATGTTTTTTCCATATATTGTAAAATATAGTCATGATGGTTATTTGATTATTTGATTACTAATGATAGGTTTTTCTTTGGCTGGGGCAGAGACAGAGATTGGAGAAATGTTTCTGTATCTTGGTTTAAATGGATAATTTAGCTAATAATCACTGTTTGTAACTCATAGACAGGTCATAAGATTTTAGTCCATTACCCAAATTCCAGAATTATGGACGTAGGCTTTATTTTAATTTTCTCTTAATATCATTCCCTAGATATTGATATCTATATCAAAATACAAAAAAAATGATGTAAGGTTTAATCTCCATTTAAAAAGATAGGCTAATTTGGAATAACCAAAATATTTCAAAAATTATATTAGAAAATTTACAAGTCAAAACAATTACTTTTCCATTGTATGTTTAAAAGCAAAAAGCAGAAATCTAATGAAATGTAATGATATGAAATTCTCATTCAATAGATTGAGGACATAAACAATACGGGAACTGAATCAGCATCAGAGGTAAATGGACATTTACTTTAATGAAACAGTCACCTAAAATTATCTGATTCACAAATAATCTTTTAATTAAAAAATTAAGTTTTTATTCTTCTTATAATAAGTACAGCAAACTGACAAAAAGGACAAAATTACTTTTCAAGGCAAGATCATATTTTTGCACTTTCTAACACTATAGATTAGTGTTTTTAAAGAAAAATATGTTTTTGCTTTCATGGTTACATTAGAGACTCAGTCTCAGTTTGAGATACTCTGCCAAGACTATATATTTCTTGAACTGTTATCAGTAGTTGAGATTGTTGAAAGCAGACATTTTTAAAAGGCAGTTTTCTTTTCATCATTTGTCTTCTTTCCTCAGAATTCCTGATAGTTTGTTTTGGTTATCACGAACTAGTAGAGTACAGTATCTATTACCATGAAGGAATGTTCGACAACCACAAAAATTTTAGTTACTGCTTTTATCTAACAGAAAAGTTAAAAAGTCAACTTGATGGTGTGCCTAAAACTACAGCCACAAAAATTGGAAGCAATTTTATTTTAGGAGCATGTGTTACATATTATAATTCTTCACTTTATGTTTGAAAAAAAAATTAGCAACAATAGATTATGTAATAAATGAATTAAAATAAATTTTAGAAACAACAAATTTAAGAATATTTTAATAAAATCAAAAGTCAAAGTTTCACCTATAATATGTTTCATATCATTTGGAAATACTGTGTTTTTCTCACTAAATATTAGTTTTATTAAATATTTAAAAACTTACATGGAGAGAAAAATCATATGGAGAAACGTTTTTACGTGTGTTTAAATTTAATCTATCCACCATCAAATTGATTTAAAGCACTCTCACGTGCACATGACCTTTTGTAGGATTAGTTCACAGATAGCTAAATTCTGATAGTATCATACACTTTTATCCAAACAGCTGTATTAACACCATCTTCTAGTGAAGAAGATATTCCTTGAACCTTGTCAGCAGTGGATTTCCATGAGAGTAACTCACATTGTACAATAAATTCAGAGAAAGAGCTCTTTGATAGAAATCTGTAAAATATGTATAAGTTTTCATTCTTCAAAACATTGATGGCAATGTAATGACATTCACCAATGATGGAGATAAAAGTTCCATGAAACCTAAATTTTGATTAGGAATATGCTAATTATCTATTTTATAAATTAGGAAGGAGATGATTCACTACTTGTAACAGTGGTACCTGTCAAATCACATAAAACATCTGGAAAAATAAAAAAGAATTTTGAGGATCTAGAAAAAGAAAGAGAAGAAAATGAAAGGGTCAAGTATGAAGAAGATAAAAGAATAAGATATGAAGAACAACAACAATCTCTCAAGGAAGCAAAGTGTCTTTCACTGGTCATGGTAATTTCTCTTTTTAAGGAACAAATCAGAGCAGTTAAGTTGGTTAGCATTTCCGTTTATTAAAAGATGGGTTTTATAATGTTTTCTTAGGATGATGAACTGGACAGTGAGGCAAAAAAATCAATTTCTCCTGGAAGACTAAAATTAACTTTTGAAGAATTAGAAAGACAAAGACAAGAAAACCGAAGGAAGCAAGCTGAAGAAGAAGCAAGACAACGTTTAGAAGAAGAGAAGCGTGCTTTTGAAGAAGCAAGGCGGCAAATGGTAAAACAAACATATATATGTGTGTATATATATAAATCATTTTATATTGATATATGTAACATCTGTATATTGTGTAAGTTATATATAATTTTATATTATAATTTATAAATGTTATATATAAAACATTGAATATTAGGGAGGGTAGCTGGTTTTAGATAAGGTTCATTCCTATAAATTCAGGGATATTTTTTATATAAAAGGGTCTGATTTGGAAACTGTATACATGTTCCGTATATAATACGTATTTGCATTTTCCATTTTCCATTTTGGGATCTTTTATCTAACATGCTTTAGTTTTTATAAATCGTTAAAAAATATGCAAAATAATTACTCAATGAACCTGGTTTCTCATCATCTGTTACAGATACAGCTTGCAATGTATCTAATGGCAGGATGCAGCATACTTTCAAGTCTATTTATAAGCGTATGCTTAGTTTCAGTCCAGTTTTTAAAAGTTCGAGCATATCAAAATAATTTTAGTATATATATATCTGTAGTGTAGTGGTTAAGAGCATAGATTTTGAAACCAGACTGCCTGGATTCAGATATCTACTATTTAAGCATGTAACCATGGAAAAGTTATTTAATCTATGTCTTTGCTTCCTCATTTGTAAATGGTGAAAATAATTGTGCCTACTTCGTAAATGAATTAATAGAAAGAGGTTAAAGTAGTGTCTGGCATATAATAAGTGCTTTAAATGTTAACTTATTATATTAATAGATTTATCAATGAAAAATAAAATTATAATAAGAAACACTGATTCCATATTTTATTATAAGAATTTAAAAGCAGAACACCTATAATTTTTTAAAGCTTTCAGAATTTCTTGTTTAACTTCATTAATAATGTTCTAAGGACTATATCTCCAAAATCAAAATTTTCTAGACATTTGTTTGAAAATGTTATTACTTTGGGGTAATTATAGTTGCATAATACCTGTACACTTTAGATATCACTGGTGGTCGGTCAATTTAGTGAAATGAAATAGAAATATCATTAATTAACCAAGTCATAAATTTTCATGAATAATTTAATATTAGAATTTTAATTACAAAATCATAAAATTTGAATTTTATATAAAATAGTTCCAAATAATAATCTTTGATCTGATTTGCATAAGGAAAAGTACCCTAGTTCATAGTAAAAAAAAAAAAAATCTATGAAATTTATAAAATGAGAACTTTATTTTACTGCCAGAGACTCTGTGTAGGTATATTTGAACCTCAATTTAAGTACACATGCACACACGTGTGTTATGTTTGTTCTGGGAGAGTTAATGTTTAGTAACTCTTAAATAGCCCCTTAAAAATTTTAAATGCTCCATCTGATCTATTTAAAAATTTGACTTGCTTGTGAAGTTTTATTTAACTTGAGTGTGTATTTATTTGGAATTTCTCCAAATTTGAATATTTTATCATATAAGACATAAAGGAAGAAGGGGATTTTGGTCAAGTATATTAAGGCAAAGAAACATTCCCGTGTGAGGTGGCTGATTCTGTGCCTTTTGATTGATAATTCATTCTTGTCTACAAATGAACCTCAGTTCTTAAGTATTGAGCCGTTTCTCGGTTAGGTAAATGAAGAGGAGGAAAACCAAGACACAGAAAAAATTTTTAAACGGTACCGACCTGGTAAACTCAAACTCAGTTTTGAAGAAATAGAAAGACAAAGGAGAGAAGACGAAAAAAGGAAAGCTGAAGAAGAAGCCAGAAGGAGAATAGAAGAAGAAAAGAAGGCATTTGCTGAAGCAAGGAGAAACATGGTAAGACAGAACATTCAATTTGGCGGGAGGAATACCCTATTATTCTGAAATTCGTGCTAAGAGTAGGGATGGCAAATAAGTGTTCGACTCTCCTGTGGCATAATACCAATCAGTTAAAGGTGTTTGCTTCAGTGTAGTACTGAGAAGGTTCTAATTAAATTGCTATGCCTAGCATAGAGGGAAGGTATGTTTTCCAGAACTCACAAAGTTATACTTCTTATACCATGTTAACGTTTGTAAAATGTGCAGTTATCTGACAAACTTTATTTTCAAGCAAGTTGACCTGTGAACACTACATCTCCGTCTTGAAACATTTTAATTGGTTTCATTAATATCAAAACCTAGTTTTCTTCCTATGTCTGGGCAAGCTTCCAAGTGTTTATTTGGCTTTACTACCCACCCAGATACTCAGATCAGAAACTTGGGAGCCTTAAAACACTTACACCTTCTCATTCATGCCTCGCATCCAGTTATTCACTGTTTCATTTATCCTACTTCCTATCACTCTAGAAATCTGTTTTCCACCATTTCCTACTTCCATTACTATAATCCAGGTCACCTTGCCTTAGGCCAAGCATGTCCCTCTCTCCTTTCCTTGTGCTCTGCTGTCTCCTATTCATATATTTCATTTACTCTGAGAAGCCTTCCCTGATAACACAAGTTCCAGAGAGCTGTTCCTTTTATGTACTGATAGCATTTGGTACTCCCCCAGCATAACACTAATGTTGTATTGTTGCTTGTAGCTGGCGTTCTTACTCAGTGAGGCTATGACTGTTCATCAGCCATGTGGAACAATGCATTCTAGCGTAACCAACTTACTATACATGTTTTCGGAATAAGTGATATTAAAACTATATGATGTGTTTTATGAGGTAATCCTTGCTTCACAAATGGTTTCTACACAGAAACTCCACAAACACTGTGAAAGTATTTAATAATTTTTGGAGAATAAGCAGATTCAGAAGTGGTAGATGAGAAGTAGCTATGATCAGGAGATCTAATCCTGGGGGTAGATTTTTAGGTCAGAACTGTCTTTTTACCATGATTCACTAGTGGAAAAAGTACAGAGAAGGAAAATGGTATTAAACTAAAAGTCTAGTTTCCTAGGGACATTTCTGTATCAGGGGAGGAAAGAGAGTTTTCTCTTAATTTATATTGTTTTCTTATCCAGGGCCAAGATTTAGGGTATTATAGCTCGGTTAATTTGTGTGTGTGTGTGCGTGTGTGTGTGTGTGTGTGTGTGTGTGTGTGAGAATTCATATATTAATAAAAAAGTTTTTGGCATTTTTTAGATTGTAAGACCAAATATTGTTTCTGAGTTTAACTGGTTCTGTGGTGAAAGCCTGTCATATATAAATCTTGGAACAAATAAATACCCTTTGCCTTTCTCATTCTCCTATGTTTATTTCAGACACAGGGTGACAATTCAGGCCAGAAGTTTATTTATATATTTTCAGAAGATAGAAAAAGATAACTGGGTAATTGTTTTTCATGGTAAACTATATTCCAAGTCAATGATTTCAAAGCAAAGTTTCTAATTGAAATTTAGAGATTGCCTATATACAAGGAATGATAATGTAATAATAAAGCTGCCATTTGGGAGCTTTACAGGGTGTCAGGCTCACTCCTAAGTGTTTCCAAATTTTAATTCTCATGACAACTCTATGAAAGTTGTCACAGATAAGTAAACTCAGACTTCATCTAGATAACTTGCCCAAGGTCACATCTAAATGGCAGCTAAACATGTAATTCATGAAATTATAAAAAGGCAGTCTAAATCTTTATTTATGTTTTTGCTAGAAAGACTTTTAAGTTTTGAATCCCATCTTTGCCACTTAGTTATTTGTGCAACTTTGGACAAGTTACTTTTCAGTGCCTAAGTTTTTATAAAATGGAGATATTAATAATTCCTGCTTTGTAGGGTTAGAGGATAAAATAAGTCAGCACATATAAAGTGCTTAGAATTGTACCTGGCAGCTCTAAGTAGTAACTATTATTACTGATTTTTTAATTAGCCTGACAGTAAAGAAATAAGTGCAATAAAATCATAGCATTGATTTTCACCTGATTATAAGGGATCCTGATGGGTTATCTAATTCACTCAGACAAAACCATGATTGAATTGAAATGCTCTGTTTTAATTACAAGAATGAAGATTCATTTTAATGCAATTAAAAGTGTTCAATATTAGAAAATCTTAATGTTTAGTTCAATTTGCTGAGAGTATAAAGTCGAAGTATTTCTTTGTGTTTATTAGAATGGAGAATAGATGGTTACCCGGTTCCTCTTGAATCACAAAATTCTTAGTCTTACATTTTCTAATAACCCATCCATTGTTTATTGTTTTATACATTTGAAGAGAAATTTAGGTCTCTTGGTTTTCAGTTCAGTGTGAAACCTTTCTATCAATTACACAGTTTCTACAAGAAATATTCCCTTCTTAGTATGTATAATTCTAGCAAGAGCGATAAAGGAATTATTTTCAATAGGCAGTAGATGACGACTCCCCAGAGATGTATAAAACAATCTCTCAAGAATCTCTTACACCGGGAAAACTGGAAATTAATTTTGAAGAATTATTAAAACAAAAAATGGAAGAAGAAAAACGACGAACAGAAGAGGAACGGAAGCATAAGTTAGAGATGGAAAAACAGGAATTTGAACAACTGAGACAAGAAATGGGAGAGGTAAGATTTTAAGAAATATCCATTTATAGTCCACAAATATTTATTAACTAAATATTTTTCATATATTACCTTATAACAACTTTCTTACCATTATTATTTACATAAAGAACACACAACATACTTCAGTGAGGCACTTGGTACAAGTTTCAGCGTAGTTATGTGCATTTTCTATCCTACCATAACTCTACTCTCTTCCTTGCCAGTTTAAAAAATATATGATTGCAAGTGACTGAGATATTACTATAATATCTTAAGTAAATATGTCTTCCTATTTGTGTGTGGTTATGTCATGATTGAGAACTGTCGTTCTAGAGTACTTAATATACTCATTTATACTTTTTACTATCTATCTTTGAAACAAATAGAATTAAATTGATAAATTTAATCAAAATTAGATAAAACTACAGGAGTACCAGGGATACTAATAGGAATATCTGTTTGTCAAGTCTTTGAATTATTTTATTTTATTAAATTATTCTTAGAACTTTGATGCTGTTACATATTTCAGTAGGATTGTTCTAGTATTGAAATGAAACACGCACACATACACACAGACTGTATAGGGCCATCTTCATGAGCATGCAACTTGTGCCCTCACAGAACCCCATGCTCAGAAGAGTCGTGCTTAGGGTTTAATGCTCTGAGGTTGCCATCTTGAAATGTTCAATAATTTTATCTTTGAATCTGTGTGTTGTAAATGAAAGCTGATTGGACAATGGAGCATGTGCTAGTCTTGGAGCTTCTGCTTACCCACACATCCTACTGTCTTCCTGCCTCCCTGGGTTCTCAGCAGCCTCTTCCTACCTCCTGATTTTCCCTTTTCTCCTTCCTGCCCCTGGATGCTGCAGCCCTCCATCTGGATGGCTAACCAGTTGCATAGGCAGAAGAGGGAAGAGGGATCCAGCATTCCACCATCATCCTTGGCCCTGGCAGCAACATGAACAGGGTTGGGGAAGAGTGTTCAGCCCTGACTTGGGGTGAGGGGAATAGTGGCTGTCCCAGCCTCGGACTGGCAGTGACACAGTATTTTGGGTAGGTGACTCGATGGGATCCTCTAGCCAGCTCTTGATCTAGGAACTGAGTGGGTTCCTACACAACAGTTGTAATCTCTTAGAAGTTTTCTCTTTGCCATGGTTTGAGGATTGGGCCTGTGGGGATATTTACCTCCGTGCCCTCACTAACCAGATTATAAATGCTATATAAATATATAGGTAATAATAAAATATAATGAATATGCTATAAGGAATTTTTCCAGGTCTAGCCTTAAAATAAAAATGGCATTTATTTTATAAGGGAAGCTGAAAATAAATTGTCTAGAAAAACTAACTTCTAAATTAGAATACTTTTCAGTATACTATTGAGATGTAATCTAATTACTATATGGCAGAATGTAACTGTCAGACATTTTGGTGCTGAGTGACTTACCCCACCTATGTCTGGGAGTTTTCAAGCAAGTAGCACACCAATTCCAAGATCAACTAGACTGTAGCTGATTAGTTCAATCATAAATTTTGATCAGAATGATTTGGACACTATTGTGATTTGGACACCATTGTGATATGTCGTCTATCATAAATTTATTAGTTTCTGGTATTTTAGGAGTTGTCTGTTCCCCACTAGACCAAAGAGTAGAGGAAGTATAAAGGAATAATTTTTTTTTCCCTTGGTTGAACCAAAAAATTATGCCTCTTGTCACATGATCCACTGTGACTCCTCTTCCTACCCGCTTTTTATTTTTGCCTTTTCTCCTCAGCCTAGAACTCTAGGTCTTTGGGAAAAGTATACCAGGAATAATTGCAATACTTTACCACTCCATATAGTGAGATTAGGGTTTAATGTTAAGAAGTATATGAAGAACTAGTAACAAAATAACAAGGGAAAGGAATCTGAATAAAAAGTATTCAGGATAAAATGGTATAAAAATTAGATCTCAAATTGGTTGACTTTCTTTCTTGGCAGAATATAAAATTGAGAGTACAAGTGATATGTAGCAAAATGTAGGGATTTTACCAGACTGTATCTGTGGAACTGCTTAATTCAGTTAACTCAATATTGAATGATATTTAACTTTATTAAGACTATCATCAAATCAAAGGCAGGAAGAATTTTAGAGATATTTTAAATGAAAAAACTCATGTCCAGCAGGTTAACTAGGCAAAGACCACACAGTATGAGAACTAGAACTTATATATGACTCCTAGCCCAGTGTTGTATTTCACCTTCCCCTAAACAAAGATCTTTCTACAATTCCTATTAAAAGCTAATCTTGATATGCATATTTGTTTTAGCAGATTATTATAAAATGTTAAATGAGATTTTGAGCCACATTCTGATGAAAAATTATTTTAAATAAGATGTTACCTGAAGTCTTAAATTTGTAGCACTACTTTTAATTAGTAAACTTAGGTATTGTGTTTAGGGAGGTTATTTAACCTAATTTTTGGCTTCGAATAGGAAATGGTAAACACTCGGGGATGATTTATTGCACAAACTAATTTTCTGGTACTTAATATATAAAATATTAATTTTTTGAAGGAAGAGGAAGAAATTGAGACCTTTGAACTGAGCAGGGAATATGAAGAATTAATCAAGTTGAAAAGGAGTGGCTCTATTCAAGCTAAAAATCTAAAAAGCAAGTTTGAAAAAATTGGACAACTGTCTGAAAAAGAAATACAGAAAAAGATAGAAGAAGAACGAGCAAGAAGGAGAGCAGTTGACCTTGAAATTAAAGAGCGAGAAGCAGAAAACTTTCATGAGGTATACTATTTTCTATTTAACATAGTTATGGTACAGACATGATGATGAACTCAGCAGAAATAACACTGACTTTGAAATGTGTTGGCACTTAAAGTTAGCCGTAGCTGTATATAATAATCTGGGAACCTAACAGCAAAAGCATATTAACATCTTTCAGACTTTTACCAGAATTAGAGCCAATAGTGAACATCAAACATTCACTAGCAAAAAATAGTTCAAAAGTATTTATTGGCACAGTTTTAGTTTGAAATCAGTAGACACAGTGTATATTTGAGTTGAACTCCAGAGACCATTCATACTTATTTAAAGATAAGGCCAATAAACCCTACGTGACCTGTAATAATCCAGTGGCAGAGCCTACATCAAAATGCAGATAACATGAATTTGAAGTACTTCCAAATGTAAAATGAGGCAATCACTAAATGAACTGTAACGTCCCTTCCAGTTTAAGGACTAGTTCCATGGTTATGAATATTGGTTTAAACAGGATTTGGAAATCTTTTTCTGCCAGAATTTACCATGTTATATTTAACAGCATTTAACCAATATTCTTCTAAAAATGCATTTTCATCAAAAACAGGTGTGGGAAGTTGGTAGGGCCTTCAAAGACTGAATAAAAAGAAATTATGTGCAGATTCTCAGGACTATAAGCAAATTCATTATTATTAAGGCAAGGAGAGTGCAAGAACAGCAAAAGATGCAAGCACAAGGCAAGACAATGGAAGTTCTGAGATACCACGTTAAGGAACTTTTATTGGGGTACATTGAAGGGATTTTAAAAACATGGAGTGATGGTATCAAGTAAGCGTCTTCATAGCTAGATCATACTCAATCTAAAGATAACTGTTTTAGATTTATGCATTAAAAATTACTTGAATGCCTACTATGTCCCAGGGACTGTTTTGGACAATTGAGACATTGAGCTTTATTTGGATAAAGTAAAAGCAGTCTAAAATACAGGTACTGAGCTCAGGTGAGAGGCAGGAGCTATGGATTAACTTTTATGGATAGTATTTGGAAGTACAGAAGTAGATAAAAGCCATTTGAAAGAGTTAAAAGTTTGAAGGTGAATAAAACTCTGGAAAACACCAACATTTAATGAATGTTTGGCCACAAGACCAGCTGATTGTTCAGAGAGATAAATGTATCACAGAAGGTAAAGTTCCATCAGCATGCACTTGCTTCCCTTTTTTTGGTAAAGGTAGTGAAACCTCAAGGTAGTCATACTTAGCCATACAAAATATGTAGGTAGGAATAAATGAGGTTGTTGACTTTGTTTTATTGCTGTTACTGGCTCTCTTTCTTATAAAAGGATTTAAGATTAGGACATGCTGATCTCCCATAACCCATGAGGATGTCCTGAATGGTGTTTCCTGTGAATGACGTTGACATTCCTCCTATCATATCCCTCTAGATTAAGGGTCATTGAGACATCCTTTAAAAAACGTGCTTTAGCATAGTTCTGACATTGAGTACCACCAACTTTCATTCCAGAATAAGACACCCCACCCCCCTTTTGATCATATTAGTTCTCCCTTTAGAAAATGTCAGTGTTTAACATGTCTTCTGTTTATATGACAGACATCTTTCAATGCCTATCTCATTCCTGTAACCTTCCCTAACCAAAGAATTCCATCCCAGCTCCTGTAGCCCTTAACCTGTGCCATTCATTTGGTACTTAGATCACTTACTTGCCTTATAGGGTTTGACTTTGTAGTTCGATTTTCCAATAAATATACTCCAAAACCATTTCTTACACTCACTTTTGCCTCAAACTTACTGCCTAGTTCTACTGCCTTTAACATTCATGTGCTGAGGGTATCAATGCCCTATGAAGAATGCACCTCGAGGGAACAAGTTATTCCACTTACTATGACTCTTTTACTGGAAGCATTTTTTAACCAGACTTTTCAGGGATTCCAGAAAAGATAATAGTTCTTAATAACAGAAAGACGGTTCACTTTTCCCATTTAGTCTATGAGGAATTCTTTGACATACCAAATTTATTTTCTAAAGGCAGGTTTAATGTAGCTAAATGAACAGGTTAGGAATTTGCACAAACTTTTATATTAAAATCCAGAAGGAAAAATAACAGGAATTCAATCAGAATAGCGGTTACTATACCTACTAAAATATCCTATCTTGAAGATATATTTGGTAAGCAAATAAAATTAACTGTAGTATGAAGAGGTCTTTTTCATTTAAACCTCATTAAAGCATGTTGAGATAAAACTGCACTAAGCAAATCATTGTGTATTTTTAAAGATACTAAAACTATCAGTATCATTTATTAAAAATAACTGTACTCATTGTTTACCAATATATACCTGAAGGTAAATTATGGCACATAGTATTTACCCACTAGGTATCTAGTTGTGTCCGATCTTGGATTTTCCAACATCGAAGAACCAAAAACTATTAAAGTTACTCTAAGTCCTTCTTCTACATTCATTGAACTAAACTATACCTCAAACTGATGTAAAACATTCATGAAAGTTTTCTTAGGCAAACATACTTTACAGATTGTTTCAGAATTTCATTTAGTTGCACGTGGTACTTTAAAGCAATTTCCTCAAATCTGTAGAATATAAATGACATCTCCAGATAGACGCATAAAAAACCCAAGTAGTTTTGAAACCTAATCAACTACCAAAGGTACTTGAGAAACCACAAATTATCTACATGACCACACTTTACTAAACTGCAGAGGTCATCAGTGATCTCACCAAATTGATTTTGTAGATTTACACTATTTGAGTTAAAACTCTGCCTTAAATTACTCTCAATTTTAATTTCCATGGCTTCCAACTTTTACTTCTAGATAACTTACGACCATCCTTCATCTCAGTGATTTCCCCAAGTTCTAGTCATTGATTCTCAAGTTTTCCCACTTATTCTGCCTGCACTCTTCTAGGCCATTTGACCATTAATAATTTGTTGGAATTCAGATAGGCATTAAGGAAATCATGAAGTGGGAAATAAAAACAGAAATTGCATTTTCTGTATTATGTCGTAAGGTGAGGATATGGAAACTTATGAGAATATTTTAATTGTTACAATGTATAATATCTCCCCCACCCCCACCTCTTTTGTTATTCAGTACTGCCAACAAGCACTGAGAATTGGTTGGGCAAATACACTGGGACTCCAGTGATGTGATCTTTACATTTGGAGAAGAGGATTCCAACTGTTAAGAAAATGTTTCACTAATAAAATTTTCACCTTTCTCACACTGAGGGATAGTGAAAAATGTGTAGCACACATTATTTGTGCCTATAAATGACACCTTCAGAACTATTAATGATTTAGTTTTTGGTGGTTTTTGGAAAATGAGTAGTTTTTATTCTTGGCCCACTTCTGTAAAGGAAGAAGATGTTGATATCAAGCCTGCAAAAAAAAGTGAGGCTCCATTTACTCATAAAGTGAATATGAAAGCTAGATTTGAACGAATGGCTAAGGCAAGAGAAGAAGAAGAACAAAGAAGAATTGAAGAACAAAAGTTACTCCGCATGCAGTTTGAACAAAAGGAAATTGATGCAGCACTACAAAAGGTACCAGGTTTACATATCCTTTATTTTCCAAAGCCACTCTTCAAAACCATAGTTTATATGAGGGGTAAAAACCATTTTAGTCACTGGAATGTTTTGTAAACATTTCATACCATATTTTTCCGTTTACATATACAAATTCAACTGTTAAAATGTCTAATTATTCAGTACAGTAACACGCTGTGCAAGCTTGCTGCTGAGGGGTGATAAGTTATACAATATAGCCTAGGTGTGTACTAGGCTATACCATCTAGGTTTGTATAAGTGCATTCTGTGATGGTCACACAGTGACACAATCATCTAATGATGCATTTCTTAGAACATATCCCTGTCATTACGCAGCATGACTGTCCTTACATGCTTACTTTGGGGAAAAAAGAAAACACTTCAAGATTCTATTATTAAACCACTGTCCTGAAACACTACTATAGTGTAAATGATAACTTATTTTAATATAGAAAAGAGAAGAGGAGGAGGAAGAGGAAGGTAGCATCATGAATGGCTCCACTATTGAAGATGAAGAGCAAACCAGATCAGGAGCTCCGTGGTTCAAGAAGCCTCTAAGAAACACATCGGTTGTAGACAGTGAACCAGTTAGATTTACTGTTAAAGTAACAGGAGAACCCAAACCAGAAATTACATGGTGGTTTGAAGGAGAAATATTGCAGGATGGAGAAGACTATCAATATATTGAAAGAGGAGAAACTTACTGCCTTTATTTACCAGAAACTTTCCCAGAAGATGAAGGAGAGTATATGTGTAAAGCTGTCAACAATAAAGGCTCTGCAGCTAGTACCTGTATTCTTACCATTGAAAGTAAGAATTAATCACTTTTAATCTAATACTTTTATTCTATTTTTTTTTCCTTTAGAAATTTAGAATTACTTTTCTTCTTCTCTTTTTTAGCTGACGACTACTAGCTCCCCTTCCCTCTCCCTGGAACCCTCTCTCTCTCCAACTTTCTTACTACATCATCTTTTCTGTGGCGGGGCCAAAAAAGGAAACCAGAAGTGCCACTATGCTGACTTACTCCTTTTCCTGTCTTCAAAACACAAGCTTGTCTAAAGAATATTTTCTTTCCAAATGAGCACCAGATTCATTGCCATATTATGCAACAGAAGTTAATGTGTATATAACAGGGAAAGTGGGAAATTTACTTATATCAGAACCTATTAAAAAGGCTGTGTATTCCCATAGTTTACAGCAATTTAAAACTATAACACATTATTTTGCATGAAATACCATTCATGAGCTGTTTACACCTAAAATTAGTCTGAAATAGCTGAGACTTCATGAATTTGGGACCTGTCGATTGGAGTGAGATTTTTTTTCTTTAGTACTACACATCATTTTGGTGGTTATACTTTCAGTCTTTCTGGAGCAGATGTATGAGGGGGAAGGGGTGTCATTCTTTTAATGAGAAATGGGGAGCATGGAGAAAACAAAAAAAAATTAGACTTTTTAGAAGCAACTTCCAGAGAAAATTAGATGGAAACCACTGCCTTGAGTTCTGAGTGTTGAGAATACTAAATGTACTTTTCAAATGTGTGTAATATATATTGAAGCTTATGAAGCAAATTTGTTGTGACCTTACCTGACAGATTATATTTTAATGAGAAACTCTGTATTAATAGTTCATACAGGAGAAAACACTTTCAATATGATTGAAGACCTCAAGATCTAAGAGGATTAAATTTAGGGAGGAAAATGGCAAATCTTCCATTTTAAATTCTGGTATTTAAAATAAGTTTGTAAATAATCAGCTACCATGTTCTATTATCAAGTTGTTTTATATTTTAATTTTCTGGAAGACAATTTTATTTTACAATGTAAACCCATAATAAAATAACTTCTATATTAAATAGTCTTTCAATATTTTAGAAAAGAGACAAAACACTCCCTTAAAATATTCATCAACGTACATTTATTTTTTTATTGAGGAAACCATAATCAATACAAAATTACAGCAAACATGTGCCCTTTTACAATGTCATTAAAACAAACTCTAAACCACAGTTTGTAAAGTATTCAATTTACCTCAAGTCCAAGCTGCATCTCCCTAAGACACTGTTCCCATCACAGTAGCCATTTAAAGCCAATCTTCTTTTTACACACGGGTAGTTTCTGTAGAGAACACTTTTCTCAGGACGAAAATGCATCGAGCATGCATAAGAAAAAATATAGATATATGCGCAAATACATTTAAGAGTTTCTATAGGGGTATCAATGAAGAAAATAAAACCCTGGGATTTATTTGCTTCTTAGAAGCACCAATTTAAAAAATCCCTCAGAACTTTATACTGTGGCAAGAAAACTCAGAGACTAAACAAAAAATACGGTTATTTTCAGAGTCAGAATTATCTTTAACTAGGTATTGTTAAAATACATTTTAAAATGAGGCAGAACTTAGAAATTTAAAAATAAGACATCCTCATTGATTAGTAATTTCTACATCCCTATTCTAGACAACAGATAACTTTGCAGATAGAACTGATTTTTCTGGAAGAGTATTCACAAATGAAATGTAACTCTTTCTGCATATATTCCTATTTCCCTCTTAAGGTACTCAGCTACTCCTACCCAAACCCACCCTTATGAATTAACTACACGTCTAAGGATATATTCTACAATGTTTATAAACAACTACTAGTATTAACTCACTAGATTTAGTATTAAAAGCATTTTCATTAAAAATAAAAACATACTTCTCATTTCTAAAAGAAACATCAAACCATAAGAATTCTATCACCACACTAAGATATCTTAATAATAAAAAAAAAACATTGTCAAGTTTTTTAAGTGCGAAATAAATCAGTTCAATTTCAATCTAAACATTGTTTTTACCACTCCTAACATCCACTGCATTCAAATCAACTGGCTCACCTTTTCTGCTTTCCATTTATTTCAAGGTTAAGATTATCTCCATTTAAAAACGCTTGCAGTATCAGTGAAGGCTTATGGTAATGAATAAAAAATTCATGAGATAGAAACAATGCCTCAATATCTATTGGCATTCATCTATTATTTTTTATAAAAATGCAAACTACAGCTAACCCAAACTTGACAAGCTCTTAAGGTTCAAAGAGCTCCTTTATATTATCAATCTTAACAAACCTATCATCAACTATTAAAACATAAACACATAAATGTGGTGCAGTAACTACATAACTTATGAAATTCAACAGTTCATGGAACATTTAAGAGCAAGTGAATAGCACTTTAAAATGAAAAGTGATCAAAAGCAGGTACATTACACCCTCTACCATATTATGTATGGGAATACATTTCATATTTCTCAATTATGATTTGCCAATTTTACCTTCTACATTGAGCCCTTCTATGGTCCATGCTCATCGGCTCACCAATGGCATACACTCAAAGGATTCCTCTTTATGGGTAACTATCTCAGGACCTGATTTTATGAGCTATGATTTGGTGCTTGCAGCATCTTCAGCACTGTGTGTGAAAATGAAGGCAGTATTTTTGAATATTTTTCTTTGTTGTAGAGATAAGCAGGAGTTTTAAAAGGATCAGCACATTTTAGAAATCGAATAAACAAAACTGATATGATGCTGCTTTAATACATCCATCTTAACTCAAAATATGTACCAGTTAAAATCATCTATAACAACACACAAACATTTTAAACTGGCAAAAAAAATGCAGTGTCAGTTATTAAATTGTAAATCAGAAAAATATTGGTTGCTATACAGATTATGAAAGGTTATTTGCTATACAGTTAACATTTCACTGATGCACATGCCTTTTATCAAAACACACTGCCAGTATTCTTTATAATTTTTTCCTTTTTCAGTGTATATAAAAGTTATAAAAACTGAATTGTCTAAAAAAAAGTCATAATAAAACTCTCACTCATAATGTCTTTACTGAATTACTATAGTTCAAGAATAAGAAAAAAATTAAGACTCCATAGCTTTGGAAGGCAAAGAAAATGTCCTGTCAATCTTAAACAGATTGTGAAGGCTGTTGAAGTTTCTGACCAAGTGATTTCCTAAATCTTGAAATCTATGTAATTGTCCTCTCTTTTACCAATTCTTCCATATTTGTGAAAAGATTACAAAAGTTTGGATGTAGTTCAATTATAGCAGCAATCTACTCATCATTTAATTAAAAAATTAAAATAAAAAAAACATTACCCAGAAATGTAAACAGTTGTTTGAACAACTTACAGACTTTCCACTGAAATGGTAGCATAAATAACAAAATACATTTGGGGGAAGCAGTAGCAGATTGCTTTTGAATACACAACCACAAAAACCTCACAGGGACAACATTAATGTACTGAAATATTTATTTATATATGTCCTTAGGTTGTGCTTACCTGTTGCTTTTTGCAGCAGAACCTAAGGTGGAAGGTCTGGGAAGGCACTGTGAAGTATAAATAATTGCACTGTTTGCAATTAATAAAGATTTTAAACTTTAAATGAATCAAAATCAACAGCCTCCAATTTGTGAGTTATGATACTGAATTCAACTGAACTACTTCTTTAGTTTAATTAATAAATGCACCACTTTCCTAAAGGTCATCTATAAAACAGTATCATGCAAAATACTGAAATCGTTCATGTCAAAACCCTACTCTTAACGATAACAGATAACTCCTTAACTATTAATTTCACACTAGAACTACATATTCACATCTAAATAAGGGTAAGGGAAGTCACTCTAAGTTCTATATAACAATCAAAACATTTCAAACTATCTATAATGAACTGTACTGCTAATTTTCTACCCTATAGGTAATCTTGACATTTATGTTATTGTACGTCCTCCTTTATAGTATATTCAGAACAAATGGTGCTCCCCATCAATGAAAGAAATATATTTTATGAAATGGTGTTAAAACTGCTACATTGCTTAATATATTTGCAAACTAAAAACCACTTCTTTCTGATACATTTCAAGTCTTTCATTATTAATATAGGATATGCATATTTACACTGAAAAACAATATATTTTAGGAGCACCAATGAGTAATACTATTCAACTCAGTTAATGATCAGTTTTCTTTAGCTATAGCTAAAGCATATGAAAAATACTTACCCATTAAGCTCACTTAAAAAAAAATACAGACCTATGTATTACTCTATGTTAAATTAAGAAGCAGTTATGGTTTTCCAAGATATCAGCACTGTATTCCAACATAATATTCACACAAAGTATGGCATTTACATTATGTGGAACATTGACAAAAAGATACTGTTGCAGTTCATCAATTTGTCATTCCGATGTACTTACAGTGCAATGCTCCTTGAAGGAACACAATCAAGGATGATACACAGCACAGTCCTCCTCACCCCTACAGAGCTAGTTCTATACTGGCTGGATCAAACCTGCACTTCAACAGACAATGGCAAGACAGACTGTATTTGCATGTACTCTAATATATTAATATGCAAAGAGCCAACAAATATGCAAAGAGTAAAACAATGGATTTCAACAAAATATCAGAACTTCAGCATGAGTGTTATAGAGTAATAAAATGATTTCAAGTACATAAAAAATTAAGTTGATTCAATGATTGGACTTGTGCATTTACGAAACAAAGCTTATCTATACTGCAAAAAGAAAAAAAAGAAAAAAGCTTGAACATTTCCACACCCCAATAATGTTTCAATGGCAGATGCACTGTAGCTCTATTTTTTGCATACTATTCACTTTTCTACCCTAAATTTAGGAAAAAAACACACTAATATTGTATACATTAAAAGAGATGCTTTACATGAAAAAACTGTTCTTATTAGACTACTCATATTTACTATCTGAAAACTGTTTAAAATCAGTTACGCTGAAAGAGTCTTGGAAATCAAGTAATTATCAAATTAAGAACAGAAAGGTTAACTGTTATAGCAGCAATACAGGTCTGAAACAGTGGTCATGTATAAAAGGAAATTTCACTGTTAATGCAATGGAAGTATGCCAAAAGATCATTGTACACACATGCAGTTTTTCATCAAACAGAAGGAAAAAAAATGAAGATATCAGGATTACTTGTGCTGAAACAGCCAAATACAATGAATAGAAAAGATCCTCCAATCTACTACTATACTGCAAGGGGGAAAAAACATGCCAGTGTTTAAAAACTCAATATTTCATGGGGAAAGCTTATATATTTGTGTATATGTATCTTAATTTATCATTGCTAAGAAATCATGAATCTTTTAAATACCCACATATCCAACTTACCGACACAGGAGGTTTCATATCATTTATTGTAAAGCACAAAACAGGCATTTTAAAAGTGAAAGTATACATTGAAAAAGTACATTTATATCACAAAGCATTGACCACATAATAGTTGCAAATACATTTGCTGGAATGTGTACATCTACACTAAATACTAAAAACAAACCAATTTTCATTTCTACACAGAAATATTAACCTCCTATCAGTAGTGATAGATATTTTGTACATTTTCCAAAAAAAAAAAAAAAAGAAAAAAGAAAAAAAAAAACCACTATTATAAACCAAAAACAAAATTAAGATCTTCATCAAGTCGTCTGCATCCATATATTTAACAAAGGTATTTTTCCCCCACACAATGAAGCAAATACTGTATTGTCCACTTCTTATTATTGGCCCTGTGCAGAAGAGATACATAAGAAATACACAAAAAGTTAAAGAAAATCCTTTAAATGGAGCTAATTCAGGAGTGAATCCTTTAAGAAAGAAAAACTGGTTAATATAAATGATG